TACACACAGGAGTGGTACCTGTGCACGAGTGTGCATGTATATTTGCCATTATCGATTTTTTTATTGACTTATTTTTCCTCTGATGATTTAGCAATATCTAAACGCAGCAAAAATGTGGATGAAAATCATTATTGCAAGTGTTAAGTTGTGCTGCAATTTTTAAATCTATATTAGCAAACAAAATCCCAGAGCGTCATTCTTCTGGATGGCAGTGCAGAGGCACAAGGGGTAATTAATCACTGAGGGGCAAAACTATATTGAGTACTTGCTTGTGCTTATCCTGAACCAGCTCAGTACGTGGCATGATTGCAACATGTAGGATTGTTTTGGAATAAAGGAGCATGGGATTTTTTAATTTTTTTACCTCAATGATTTTTTTTTTTTTGATTGGCAGCAAAATGGTAAGGCACTTAAAATGCAAACTCTAACAATAAAAAGGGTTTGCTCTGTATTTACAGCTTGTGAATAATGATTGCACAAAGGTGGTAACTTTTAATTTTGCATTAACTCAGCTTGGCTCCGCAGTGAGTGAGGTGCAGAGCTCGTTGACGAGAAATGAATCAATTGCTGTCTGTGCCTTGGCTGTCCCCTGTGAAACAGTGTAAACCTGTCAGATTTTGACAGCTTGCTCTATCTGCACAAATGACACCATTTTTGAGAAATCAAGGACTGCTGATATTGCTGTAATAGATCTAAAAGTGCATACTGATGTGATCTGCCACTTCCTGCGAGATGGAATTTAAAGCTGCCGATACGCGGAATATTTCTGCTGCATCAGCTTATCATCTCAGAAATGTGGATCCGAGTTTTGAAAGAGTTCAGCATGGAACAAATCTCCATCTTGTCTAGCTCTGATACTTCAATCCTAATACATGAAAACCTGATAAAAAAAAAAGTCTCTCATACTCTAAAAGCCACAAGAAGATTAAGCAACTGCCTGGAGAACATCCTTGAGTATCCCAAACATATGGGGTATTGAAATGTGTTGTCCACCAACTCTATTACACTTGTATAAACAAGTGTAGTGGAGCACTTCTCATCTCCCAAAGCCCTAAAGAGGTTTCCAGAGCACTCAGCCATATCCTTTGTGTTTGAATAGAGCTTGGCAAATGTGAGAAGTTTTCAGTGCTTTGACCAAAATGTAAACTGAAGGGGAAACAACTCAATTATAGTCCAAGCAAGGTGGCTATTATGGATGTATTTTAGTTTTACAATGGGTGGAGAAGTAGTAATTGGGCTTGGAAAAACTTTGTTTTGGTTAAGTTGTTAAAGGAAACAAGGAAGCTGTTAAGGAAACAAGTTGTCCAATGCAAACTAAAAAACTTGAGTTTCATGGGGGATTGGTTTGGTTTTGTATAAATAAAGGGGAAAAGAAATCCATTTAAAAAGAAAAGTGCCAGTTAAAAATTAAAAGCTGAAAAATCTAATTTTGAAATATTTTGGAAGAAATCCACACTTTCCTTACTGAAATAATTTTTTAATTTTTGACCAGATTTTGCAATTAGTTTTAGCTAACTATATTGAATTACTATCTGGCGATAAATACACTTTTTATCAAGATGTTTGTCCACCTTCACCTTGAAGGGTTCAGGCAGAGCCAGTGAGAGATGGGTAAGTGTTGCTGTCCTGTTAAAAGAGGGATCATAGAGCCTTTAATGTCTTTTGGCTTTTGAGATCTTATCCAACAGATGTGTGAACGAGCTTCATTTCCAGCCATAACAAAATAAACATTTGTCACCTTTAAGAGAACATTACTGACAAAATGAGACCTAAAGATTTGTGAAAATTCTTTCCTAAATTGTTCATTCATTGTAATCTTTTTTCGTGGTTTGAGCACAGCTATAAATCCAAGTAAACAGCATCTAGCTACGGCTCTGTTCTAAATAAAGTGCAATGGAAAAAGGAGTTTAATTTCTCCTTAAGATCTCTGGAGACTTGATGTATTTTTGAAACATGATTGGTTGCCCTGACACTGTGACAGCAGCCAGTTGTTTTAAAGGAGCATTTGCTTGCTTGGAAGCAGAGTAGTTGACCTTGATACTACTGTACTCTCAGTGGGAAAGGATAGTCAGAGGATAAAGCAGTGGCTGGCAGAGGAAGCAAAGGCAGTCCATAAAGCTCAAAAAGCTTTTCTAGCATTCTGATAAAAGTAAAGAAGTAATGCTTAAGTGAATGATCTGCAAAGAGCAGGTAAAGAGTGATCAGGCAAAGCTGTAAAGAAACACAAACCTGGTCACTGTGGTTGACATTTCTTGCTCTAGTTCCTCATCAAGAGGCTCAAAAAGGCTGCATCTACCTCACCACCCCTTGCCCGTGATGCAGGATGAGATGCTTTTCCATGAAGAATTCACAATCTTGAATAGCTGAGCGGGGCCTGAACCTCTCCAGGGATGGAAACACCTTTGTCAGACTGCGCCCATTTTCTATGGTTTGTGCATATTAACTGAGGGACTTTGAGTTGGCCATACTGTTCATTACCAGTGCCATCCAACCTTTGATGTTCTCAGGGTACAGACCACATAATAACAGCTGCTGAGATACCCTCTGTTACAGTAGTTACTGTGTTTACATTTTCCTCCTATAACAAAAGTGACTGAGTAATGATTTTTGTGACTGATTCAGCCTTGTATTCTGTTCATGAAATGATAGCGACTGATTTTTTTTAATGTACTATTTTTCAATCAATACATATTTTTAAAACTTTTTTTTTCCTCTTTGTTGATCACCAGGTCTAAACCCAACTTGTCTGTTCAGCTGTGGCTGTTATTTACTGATGATAAGAGTCTGAAAACTTTTATGAAACAAATACTAGATGGACAGTTTCATAACAGACATTCCATACTGGTAAACTGAAATGCTCAAGTGTTCTTGCATGCAAAATGGATGCAAAAAATTGATTAATTTATAATCTCAGCTTGCTGGAAATAAAAAAGCATATGCATTACTTGTCCCGTGCTTTTTTAAATGTAACTGGTATATTGGTAGCAGCACAAATTAGCATGTAATTTTCAATATACTGCATATAGTTAGTAACACTGAGGATATAATTGCCTGAATTGTCTATGTTTAAACAGTGATGACAAAATTATATCAGAGCCTGTTAAATACAACTATATTAATAGTTTAAAATTACAGTTGAATAACTGACAGTTAAAACTATATTAAACCTAACCATTGATGCCTGATCTATTTGGACTCAGGCCTACCAACTTGCCAGCATCTTTTCCAGGGATATATGGGCCTGTTTAGCGGTATGCTGGGACCACACATTTAACCTGAAAGTAATAGTACTGTGAGGATACAGGAGACCAGATATTTTTAGTTTCAGGGCATTCCTGAAAGCAAACATAACGAACCAGCTGGTAATCACTTGGCTACATGGCCACGTTCACCATGTATAATTCTCTAAACTGACAAGGAAATTGTGAACTTTCAGTATGAATGTGAACAGCCCCAAGGAGGGGTAAGGAGGGGTGGATTTATGAGCAGACAATGGACAGATGAGCAGACAATGCAAAACTATTTGTCTATGCTTTGATTCATAGAAATGAGTGCACCAAGCACAATGAGAGATGGGCAGACTCATTACTTCATTTCATTCTTCTGAAAGGATGCAATATAATGAGGACAGAAAATAGAATATGCATTTTTTGTCTCTAATGTACTCCTGTGGTTTATTTCATGTTTTTTTTTTTTAGCCTGTTACACCAAAGTTGGAAAAGAGAAAACAAAGGAAAAGCAGATAAAGGAGTAATGAATGATAGAAACTGCCTTACTCGGATTCACAGCCCCATCAAAGGGGGCTTGCAAAGTTCAGGTGGTCTAAATTGGGGTAGCTCTGTAATTACAGCCTAATGGACAGACAGAAAATGTCTCTGGAACTGCCAGACTGGATTTTTTACAAGAATTAAAATTGTTGTTGTAATAAGAGATGAAGTGGACAAATATACTCAGTAAAGTCTATTAAAAATAAATCTTGTGTGTGTATGCCTATACTTCCAGTTGAACTCTAGGCTGGCAGGAATCAGCCTGTTACTGAGAGGCACCACTGCAGGACAGCAGGACATCAGAAGGCAATAAGCAAAATGACTACATAGAAGACTATTCCTCTGTCCACTGCACATATGCACAGCAGTGCATGCAGTCAGCAGAGCTGTCAGTGCTTCCTGGCAAACACAGACTGCCTACAAGCTCCTACAGGCTCAAAGTCACATTATATCTATATCCTCTGTACTTTTCATTAGTATGTGTAGAACAGCTAAGCTGTAGTGCTGTAAAGTAATAACACTGTGCTTACCGAAACAATTAAAACTTACTTATCTTCCCTTGAAATACCAAATAGTAGTGGTTTACATAAGCAGCCACCTTGCCAGAAAAGGCAGCAAACACCAATCTAGACTAAATAGCATGTTCATCCATGCAATGATGGGGCACAGCATTAAGACAAATGTTTTCCCTGCTGCAAAGGTCCTTATGAGGCAGAGAAGGGGCCCCAGAATATATTCCAGGACCTGACTTTGCCTCTCTGGAACAGAACAGAAAGATTCCTCATGCTCCAGCTCCTCCAAGCCATAGTGCTTTGAAAATATTGCATCTGGTCCAAAATCTAGTAAACTTGGATATTCTAACTGAACATACATTTCATAAACTGTATAAAATGAATCTGCTGTGCTAATTGTTCTGCTCTAAGGCTTTAAGGGAATGCCAAACACGAACAGCTGAGTTGTGGGAGGCGTGTCCAAGGCACAGGGTACGAGCCGGGGCAGAGGAGCCCAGGGGAGCATGCGCCGACATAGGTAATCTTATTGGTCAGAGAAGTCACATGGTGTTAAAGGATAAAACAGCGCCGATTTTGAAATAGATTCCCTTTGTTCACCATCTCACGAGGACGTGTTTTTCCTTATTATATAAGGACATTTGCGTACCCTACAGGAATCCTAGGAAGGAAAGGCTGTGAAGTAATTTCAGTTGGAGATGGTGCTCTGTCCTGCAATAGGCAGGATAGGAGATTGTGGCCATGTCAGCCTGATGTGCTCATGCTTCCTGGAAAGAAGTTTAGCTGCAGGTGGCTGAACAGGCTGTAAACCCAGTGCACTGAAGGATTTTTCTTTTTCTCTGTAGGTGATGCTAGCAAAGAATCTGGATGTGTCTCAAGGGCTGGTGAACGGGACACGAGGCGTTGTTGTAGGATTTGAAAGTGAACAGAAGGGTAAGTGAGCTTCTTGATCTCTTGTTGAAGGAAGAGGGGGGAAAATAACAAAACAATTTTTCATTGATGGCTGATGACTTCTCAGCTTTGTTTACTGCCTGGTAAGAATAATTTGAGGGAAAGCAGAGAGGAGATCTCTGCAGGCTTGGGGCTCTCACCAGCTGTGATGTCATGCACTGCATCAGCTGTAGCTATCTATGGGCCTCTTGTGTTTGCTTTTCTGTGTTGTCTAGATGTGGGTGCTCATTTGCATTTCCTGTTTTGTTTTGTTCAAGCAAGTTTTTGTTTGTTTTTTCTCAAAGATTAATGTTCTGCTACCTGCAATATGTATTTTTCTCTGCATCTCAGCTGATAAAATACCTGACTTTAATTCTTCTGCCTTAAGTAGGTGCCAAACATCATTTCAGTACATGCTATTTACTGTTTGCGGGTTTAGGTTTGGTTTAGGAGGGGGGGAAAAAAAGTATTCTTAGGCTGCTGACTTCCTGGCTTTTGAGTGTCAGGAATACATCTCTGTTTCTCTCCTGCTCCCATTCCTACAGGGCTGCCTAAGGTGAGGTTTCTCTGTGGGGTCACACAGGTCATAAGAATGGAGAAATGGGTCTTCAAAGGACCATCAGGAGTTCACCTGAGTCGTCAACAGCTGCCTTTAAAATTGGCATGGGCCATTTCCATTCACAAGAGTCAGGTGGGTGTCCTTGTACAGCTGTCTAAAGACTTCCACACCATCGTAAGCCTTATTTCCTGGGTGAGCTTGCATTGCTGGTAAAACAGGAGGGAAAGCTGAAAGGCCCTTGTTGGGGGGGGGGAACTCCAGAATATGTGTGTTAAGCTGCACCTCTTCTGCTCATGATGCCTGCCTATAGGGTCACAGATGGACTAGATACACTGCTGGAGTTTCCATGGGGTGCTGCCATCTGCATAGTTGGTGTTGGACTGTAAAGCAGCATTATCTACCACTGTGGGCTGATGAGAGCAGTGTTTCCTTGAGAGTCATCAGCACTAGAGACCCTGAGGTTTACAGTGTAACTGAGGCAGCTGCCAGAGCCACAGCTGTGCTCTTTGGGCTGGGCTCGCTCTTTAGTGGTGTGTGTTTGGTTTTTTTCAGTGTAACAGTGTAACTTTCTCAAAGTTCCTTCCCTTCCAGAAGACTTCATACACTTTGATAAATACTGGTCTTGGAGACCTGTGAGTTTGTTCCCATGCCACTGTTTATTGTTCCGGTGCCACTGTTTAAACCAGTGCAGGCTGTGCCCAGGACAGCCCTGCAGACAGGCCTAACCCAAACTCTCTGATCTACCTGAGGACTGCTTGAGAATGGTGACTGTTCTAGTTAACTACTAGGAGTGAAACCAGCAGGATTTCTTTCCCTGCTGTGTTGATTAGATGGGATTTATGGAGTTTTGTGCAACAAGAGGTTCTCTGGAGTTAGTTAGTGGATTCTACTATCTGCTAGCAATTTACTGACAGTAGAAAACTGCCTTTCCTTTCTGATTCTCATCTTTTAATCAGTTACACAGTAAAACAAAAGACTTCTTTTTTTTTTTTTTTTTTAATCAAGCCCTTACACCAAGAACGGTACCTTTGACAGACTCACAGGTTAGTGTTGGTGCAGCACAGTGTTCTTTTTTGTTTGTTCTGTAACAAAGTTCTCTGTGTCTTTGGCAGGGCATGTCTTTAGACTGTGTGGAAATCTCCCTGTCTCATGTCTTTGAAAGTGGGCAGGCTTACGTAGCTCTCTCCCGAGCCCGTCGCCTTGCAGGTCTCCGTGTTCTGGATTTTGACCCAAAAGTAGTGAGAGCTGATCCTTCTGTGCTGCAGTTCTATAGACAGTTAAGACGTCATCAGCTTTTAACCCAGGTAAAGAAAAACCTCATGATAGCAAAGCCTGCTTTGTGCTACCAAGATGAGAGATGTTGGCACTGAGATGCTTCTTTTTCTTCCTAAGCAAGACCATTCAAATTAAAACTTGTAGTGGTAGGAGAGACGAAACTGCAGAGAGAGAATGTGGCAGGGCAGCTCTTGGTGGTAAAATATCTACAGTAGTTTTGGGATTGTATAAAACTACCTGGCCCTGTGGGCAAAAGGATAGGTTGGGATTCTTTGGTCTTCCTCTTGCAGTAAGGAATGAAGGGGAAATGGGCACAAAAGAAATCTGTTCCATTTTTTTTTTATGTCTTCTTTCTCCCCAAAGGATTCACTACACACCTATTCAGATGCTGATGAGAAGGAGAATGTGAAATGCAGCTGATAATACTCTCCTGGTTTCTGTGAAGTGTCAGCACAGACTCCTGAGATGCAGTGATCTTGCTATTGAGTATATTTGATAACATTTTTTTAGCTGTTTGCTTCATTCAGCTGACTCTGGATATATAGAAGTATCTCTATCTCATGCCTCTGGAATTTGGAAGGCTTCTGTAGCCCCTTTCTGAGCCCACAGACCTAAGTAAGCACTTCTGTGTCACAGATGCAACTCCAGCAAACAAAATGACTGAACAAGGATGTTCCTGAGGGTCCTTCCTGTGGTTCTATCCTGCCTGCCTAGTTGCATTTAATCCTCCACATATATAGACTGAAACTGGTGTCCCTTTCTTCAAGTATACCACTGTTGTGAGATGGAAGGTGTCTGGATGGATTGGACCTGTTCACAGGAGCTGCTGACACAAGGGAAAACAGTGCTAAGTATCTGGAATATATACTTGATTCTTCTGCAAGCAAGGAGCTGGGCTATTACTTTACAGCATGCTGAGGTGTTCCAGATGCTTGACACCAGGAGGCTTTGCAAAACTTCCTCCACAAGCAGAACTGCCAGTTACATATTGCTTGTTATGCTGATATGTAGCGTTTTTATTAGTCTGTTGCATAAGATGTGATTTTTATTTTTTTAACCCTCTGAGATGAACTGACACTGTTTAAAGACAGGAGGAATTCCTACATCTTATACCTGTAATTATGGAACTACAAGAATTGTGAAGTTCTGTTACTCCATTAGGGAGAAGATGGGTACTGGTGAGAGTTCCTCTTGTTTAAACACATGAGGCTTGCTCAAATGAAAGTTGTCCCTGGAAAAAACCTGTCTGACTAATAAGGTGGAAGTTTAGTGTGAAATAGGGAATAATGGCTATGGACACGTGAAGTGAGCTGTAATGTCACCTGTTTCAGCAAAAGCAGAGATAAGCAGAACTAATATACTGTCTTAATTGAGGAAAAGCTTTGGTCTTTGTATTTTAGCACTTTGTTTAAAGCTTAAGTAACTTGTGTATTTTAAAATGTTTAACATCTTAAAACATGACATAACATTCAGCTAGAACTCGTCTCTTGCAGGGTTATGTCTCTAACAAAACCTCTGCTGTGGGAGTGAGTTGAAGGTCACTTCTTGGCAGCTGCTCTCCTTAAAGCCAGGAAAGGATGTTGATTAGCCAGTGGTTAATATAGCAGAGAACAGTTTTAATAGGATTTCAAAATGCATATTTTAAGTGGGGGTTGTTTTTTTTTTTTTTTCTGGGCTTGAAAGGTAGAGTTTTGGAGGGAGTCATAGTAGAAGACAGAAGTGTGCACAAACTGAAGATTAACTTCTCCCTGCCCACACACCTGGCAAGGAGGGTGCTGGCACACTAAAGCATCATTTCTGGTGCAGATGAGCACTGAGGTGTGATTGTTTGGCCTGCAGCTTCTAGAGCTTCCACTAGAGCTGGGTGAGGGCCTGACTCTGTTGCAGGCTGTGTCCCCCAGCTGCCAGTGCCAGTACCCAGGTGGGGTGCCCATGAGCATCGTGTGCTCAGGTTCAGCCCCTTCCTCCTGTGGTAGGACACAGGGGGTGCAGGTGTGGCAGGCTGGCTCTAGCCTTTCCTTGGACACCTCTTGTTCCCCCAGCTGCTGTGTGTCCCCATCTTGAAGCACTCTTGCTCTTTCCTCATGCTGCTGTTCTGCAGTGGGTGCCCTGGCACAGACTGTGCTGTGCCACTCGTGCCTCCTGTGTAATTCCAGCTATGCCTCAACTGCATCCTCCACCTTTGTGTGGGTTGAGTTTTTGCTTTTGTTCACCTCCCCATGCCCCTTGTGCAGGTGGCAGAGGCTGTGGGTACCCTGATCATCAGGGCAAGGCTGTCCATGCAGGCAGGGATACCCAAGGGGTTGCCTTAAAGCCTGTATTCTTGGTCAGGGGGCTGGGCTAGGTCCAGTTTGCACTCTCATGGGTTTTTAGAGATGCTGCAGTATGAGGGCTTTGTGTTGCACTGGAGGTTGAGGTGTGGGATCTGAAATGCCCAGAATGTCAGTGGGTTTTACTCTTGGGGTAGACAGCTAGGAAGGATATGCCAGGCATGTCCAGTCATACACAATACATTGATTTACTGACAGGTTGCATAAGAGTGATTAGATAATGCAGGCTCAAATCCTTTAACATCTCTTAAAAAGTTCCTGTATTGCTGCAATGAAAAGATAATTTAAAGTGTAAGAGGGGTGATTATGCAAATAAACTTCTAATTGTGATTTTAAGAAGCAACTCACTTCACTATAGTTTTCCTGGATTTAGGGACTGAAATCTTTCCAGGTGTATGGGGGTTTTTTTGGTGCCAAGCTGAGGTTTGAGATAAAATGCTAAACAGAACTTAAAGCTGGAAAGGCTAATCAATATTTCATGTTAGTATTAAATATACATGAAATATTGTGGTTGCCTTCTCAATGATGGAACTGTGGGAACAGAATAGTGGTGGCTTTTGAAGGGCTGGCAGCTGTTTTGAGGCCAAAAGGCGTCTGTCTGTGTAAATTTTGGATGTTCTTACTTCCAGCTAAAGCAGATGCAGGGATGGGGGCTGGGTCTGGAGGCTGCTATTTAAATCAGAAAAGAAGCAGCCAGGACAAATCTGAGCTGTCAGGCTCTGTCATGGCTCCCCTTCAGTCAGGGTTGTGATGAGGCCTTTTTTAACAGAATAATATTTCCATATATACATGAGGTAAAAATCTTGTAATACAATAAATATCCCTTCTTCCAAGTTTTCCATAATGTGTTGATTTTTCTTTCAGAGGGACGGTCTGTCGCTAGAACCCAGTATGACAACATGGGATTTTTTTTTTAAAGAACTCTTTATTGTGGTAATTGTACTGCAAGAACAGAGCTCCTCTTCTCTTCGTTAGTCAGTAAAATGAAGAATCTGAAGGCTGAGCAGCTTTTTATACAAGGCTGCCACAAAGCCATCCTCAAAATGTCTAGTGCTGCTGTTGCTTTCACCTGCTGAGGCAAGGTGGGCTTAGCAGGCTGGATTCTTGTGAGGACAATTCACATGGCTCATGACAGAGCAAGCACCTGTGCCATTCTCCACTTACACAACCTAGAGTTCGTGCTTCTCCCCTGCCCCTCCATGGATCTTCTCCACAGGCTGTGGTCCTTCAGGAAGAAGTCTGCTCCACCACGACCTCGCTGGGGGCTGCAGGGGCACCTGGAGCTCCTCTTCCACCTCTGACCTGGGTGATCGTTTCTCACACCCCACACTCTGCAGTTTTTCCACCTCTGTCTGTTGTTACCACCAGTGTCAGTAAGGGGCTCAGCTGTGCCCCGTGGTGGGGCTGTCCTGGAACTGGTTGGAATTCGCTTTGTTGGGCACGGGGCAGCCCCGACCTCTCCTCACAGAGATTCCCAACACGGGAACCTCATACACCAAGAACCAAGTGTGTGAGCATCCTTCAAACTGCCCCACCACCCTTGCCTGCAGCAGTTGGGTGGTTGGATATCCTGGGCTACAGAGGAAAGGCTGAAGATGCTGTGGTAGGTGAGGGGGAATGGCTGGTGATGGAGGAGCTGCCATGGCCATGGGGCACCGGGCAGGAGCTGGCCCGGGGTGCAGCTGGAGCCCAGCTCGTGGGAGAGGCACTCCCTGAGGGCACATGGCTGTGCAGCAGCAGGCTGGGTCCCAGCTCTGTGGAAAAGGAGGCTTCCATTACTGCACTCCCATAAACATGGGGAATTAATATTGTCCTCTGCTTTCACAAACTGAAGAGCAAGAATTTAAGCTTGGTGTTTGCCTTAACTGCAGCTATCATTAAGTGAATTAAACTAAGAGTTAGATACATAATTGGTATTTCTGTTACCACAAAGTACAGCCATTCTCTTTTCAAATACATTAAACCATAAGAAACTGCTTTATACCAGCTAAAGCTTCATAATACATTTATGTGTTATTGGAAGCATAATTCACAAGCAGAGTGTTATTAAAACCTTACCAGCTTCCAGTTTAAATCTTTGTACAGTGATTTAACACCCTTCTCATTTCTTTATGTGACATTTTCACAATAATTAAACATGAATGTGTCCTCAGAGTCTGTACCCACAAGTCCTGTGAGTGCAGGAAAGGCAGCAACAGTCCTGTTGATCTCAGATGCTGTAATAAGATTGTGTCCAGGAATTAGATCTTCATATCCAGAGTTGCTCTGAATAGATGAAACAAATACTACTCTTAAGTGATGGAAATACAGTACATTATAGGTTATATTATAAATGCTAATAATGTAATTTTTCTCACAGATATTAAAAGTTTCTCATTTTGTATTATGCCACTCTGTGACATGCAATTGTCTTCTGCTGTTAAATCTAAGCAGCTCTATTATTAGCCTGAGAAAAGACCTGAATTGCTAGAGATTGCATTTAGATGTGTAAAATCTCTATTTCGCTGCTTCCTGTATGATTATTTTATGCTTGTTTCTATTACAGATTATAAGGATGTTGGATGGAATTTTTTACCTAAACTACTGACTAGGATATAATGGATGAAATCTGGTTGTAAAAGCAAAATAAGTTGATAAAAGAATCTAAAAGTTTTTCACTTATAATTATTGAATAGTGCACTAGCTGAATTTTTAATTTTTTTTTTTTAATTTGGTATGGTGTTGATGCAGAGGGCTGTCAGATGTGACAGAGAACCTATGAGAGCCCTTTTGGGATGGCAGCTGGGTAGGCACCAGCAGCATCCTAACTGGTACCATGTGCCCATGTGTGGGCAACCAGATTAAGCCTGCAGTGTTCTAAATGTAACACATTTTTACTAAATTGTTTGTTACAATCCCTTTGCAAGAAGGTAGAGCTATGAAAGATGCCTCTGACAGAAATTTGGTTAAGATTTTTAATTATAATTATTTCTTTTATCACATGGAGTTTGGCATTTTAGGTTTTTTTCTCTTATTTCTCAAAATGTATGGTTTTTGTCACCAAGTAGGGGAATATGTACACAAACCACACTTTTCATCTACGCTTCTCAAGCCACTGGGCTATATCAGTTTTCTGTGGGGGTACATAATTATTTTTTTTTTCAATTATTAACACCTTGAGAATTACAGGGAGATTTGCCCAGACTTTGTTGGAGGTTAGGAGCTGGTCCAGCTCTTTAAAGATTCTGGATCTTGTTTTGTTTATTGAAAGATCTATGATTCCCTATCATCAAATATCAGCTTAGAGAGAGTATAATGTATTTTGAAGACAGTGCTAGACAGTAAAAATATTACTAAAACTTCTTAAGGTTATTCCAGTAGCTCATAATTCACAAAAGTGAGGCAACACATATCTTTTAGTATTTCCAGGTGGAGGCTGGACAGACTTATTAAACATAATAAATGTCAAAAATATTTATGTGGATTAGTGAGAATAACTTGGATTAAAAAACAATTTTTAAAGTTTGTCATTTATCTTGGAAGTTGTACATATGATCAGCCTGGTTTTAAGCTGTTCCGTAAAAACATTCCTGGTAAGCTACCTTCTTGTTTTTATTGGATTAGTAGGACTCCTTGTAATAAAATATTTGACCATAATAACACCAGGTACTTTCAACTGACACTTTGCAATACAAAGTAAATTTTAAAAAGATATCTTGAAGCCTGGGCAATAAGCTGGTGCATCAGGCAGAGGGATGTTACCAGAACTAATTTAATAATAAAGAAGGAAGTTTTGGAATTGTTTAGGTTTTACATGCTTTTTCTCCACATGAAAGAGACCTTGCACTAATTTTAACCATTTTATTTGTGACAGTTGAAAGCTCTGGCTATTTTAACATAAAAATCCCCACTGAAAATGGAACACAGCTGATGATTCAATAAGGTCAAAATGACAAACTTTCATAAAATGCTGTCTCTTTGTCTTCATTAGCCATAATTATGGCTTTCAGTTAAACTTTTGGACAAATACTGTATGTTTTCCTCTTGTTTTGAAAATAAAGTTGTTTGTGCAGAGTAATTTTTATCCTTTAAGTTCATGTTAGAGATACAATGCTACTTTTGACAGACTGCTGTGTAGTCTTGTGCATTCTCAGATGTCAAAAAAACTACAAGGTCAAAAATATTGTTTGTGATGACCTATATATTTTAGTAGAAATACTGTCCGAAGGAATTATAATCAGATTTTGACACTTGTCCTGAAAGTGTCAAAGTCTCCATAACATATAACACCTCAGAAACATCAGGCAAAAAGCCATAAGCATAACTCTCATTCAATAATTCTGTAAGGTATAGATCATCTCACAGTGATAAGTCTCAGGAGAAATCTGAGTTTCAGGAGTATCTGAGAAATAAGTATCAGCCTCTTAACAACCTTTGCTACAGGTTTCAGGAGATTTTCTTTAAAAAAAAGAGTGCAAACCCCCCCCCCCCCCCAAATCAACAAAAAAAGCCTAACCAAAAAAACCCCAAACTATTTCTAGCCATCCGTGAAGAGGAGTTTTACTGTCAACAGAAACTAGGGCTAGAGGTAACCTCAAGCACAAGACTGCACTCTGCAGGTTTTTTTCCTGCAGCAGGAGGCCTCAATGAACACAGTATTCATCACTGTACCAAGTGGTGACAACTCCAAGTAGCGTGCTGATTTAGAGTAGTTCCCAAGCATATTTGCAGATTCAATATGTATATGGGCCTTTGGGATGGGTAAGAGATCTAGTATGTTCCAAAAGTGCCTGAAAGAATCACAGAATCAACCGGGTTGGAAAAGACCTCTGAGATCATCAAGTCCAACCCTTGATCCAACCCCGCTGTGGTTCCCAGGCCATGGCACTGATGCCACATCCAGTCTCATCTTAAAAATCTCCAGGGATGGAGAATCCACCACCTCCCTGGGTTATGGGCTGGTCATGTATTCTTAGATTTCATCCCAAACAAGTGGCAAAAGACACAAAAAAACCTTGATAAAACTCATCAAAAGGGAAGACTTAACAATTACTGTGGAGCCTAAATGGAGGAGAGGATTTTGCAAATGAATTAGATTCTGCAGTGGTCTCTTTCCTTCAAAATGATCTATTTTACTTTTACACTATGGAGCCCTCTCATTTATTTCCAGAGTCCATTTCTCCCCCTCTTTTCCTAAGGTGTGGCTATGTTGTGAATAATTGATGCTTCTGCATAGAAAAATAGTTTTTTTATCATGTTGCAGAGTTTGGACTTCCACCAACCCATTAACTCCAAATAAACTCCTAAGCATTCTACTGTCTGATCAGCGTCTGCATAGTGACATTTATCAGGAGAGAGAGAGACATAAGAAATAGTCAGCGACTGGAGATTCTTACAGACTGGAATAGTGACACTGTAATCTTGCTCGTTCCCTCCCTATACCTATCACCCCCTTTTCCAATCTCTATATTGTGTATGTGTCTATATTGTGTCTATATTGTGTCTATATTGTGTCTATATTGTGTCTATATTTAGACACAGCTAAAACGACTGTTAGAAGTGTCCCTTGACATGTGTTCAAATCCAAATCACAGGTATTAAAATTCACTTAAAAAACAACAACAACAAAAAAAACTCCATGGTGATTTTATATTTAAATGCAGGGGATGCATAAAACTGGCATCACTTTTCTTTTAGTGCTTTCCTTTGGAAGACACAATTTTAAACAGCCTCGCTGGATGATTATTTCTCACTGGCATTATTTCTCTAACCCATCAGTTCCAGACTGTATGTGCTACAGTGCCAGCTATTATAAATGAGCAGTAGCATATTGAGCTCGCTGGATTAACAAACTAACAGTTAAAGCATATGATATCTCCACAGTAGAATTACATCTGTAATCTCTCAGAGAGTTAAATTAGGCCTATTTTCTATAAATTAATTGTATTAATTTAATTCTTTATCACTGAAATCGTTTGCCTTTTTCCTCTATTTCACCTGGATCATATCAAGTTAACAGGCCCTTTAACTACAAGTCCTTCAAAAATACTCCTAAATTATTCACAGG